TATTAATTTTTTTCTGAAGATTGGTTAAACATACGAAGTTGAAACTTTGCACAAACATTTATGACAACTAGACAAAGCTACAAAAAAATTATGACGATTTTTCAAATTCATAAAACAAAATGGCGGCTGTTTAAAATTTTGTTTCTTAAATTACTCGAAAACCGTTGATTTTACAAAAATTTTACAAGAATAACTTTTTTAAGGCAATTTTATTACAAATCGATCGACACCTTAATCTTTAAGATCGGACGAGTATTAACTGAGATACCGGTATGGCAGTTTTAGTGATACGTGACCGCTTTCAGCATGCGCTGCAACTAATATCCGGCGGTCACGTATCACTAAAACTGCCATATCTCAGTTAATACTCGTCCGATCTTAAAGATTAAGGTGTCGATCGATTTGTAATAAAATTGCCTTAAAAAGCTATTGTTGTAAAATGTTTGTAACATCAACGGTTTTCGAGTAATTTAAGAAACAAAATTTTAAACAGCCGCCATTTTGTTTTATGAATTTGAAAAATCGTCATAACTTTTTTGTAGCTTTGTCTAGTTGTCATAAATGTTTGTGCAAAGTTTCAATTTCGTATGTTTAACCAATTTTCAGAAAAAAGTTAATAAGTGAACAAAACAAAATGGCGGCTATCAGAGTAACTAAGGACTTCCGGACAATTTAAATATGATATTTAGATATGATTCTTACCCAGGAACAATGCCCTAAAATATTGGTAGAGAGTTCCGGGACACCCTGTATATAGACTAGCTGAACCCGCGGACTTTGCCCCGCTTAACTTCATAAGTATTCGCATGGCTCAATCACGTCCTGGTTGAAGTTCGTTCGCTACGCTCACTCACCTTCGGGTTGGAAATCGTTCGCTGCGCTCACTTGTTTTCAGGTTAGCTCGTTCGCTATGCTTACTCGCCTCCAGGTTGATGTTCGTTCGCTACGCTCACTCACCTTTTGGTTGCAAATTAGCTGTTGTCATAAATTTAAAAAAGTCATCCCTTTTATTGTTTATAATACAGTACTTAGATAAAGGTTTTTATGTTTTAATATTTAACATTGAAGAATATAAACGTTGTTAAGTGCACAGGTGTGCTGCGATTGGGGTTTAATACATTTGGACTTATTCAAAAGTAAAATAGTTTTCTGTGCTGCAATCTGTAGAAACACTGTGGCACTATTTCAAATCATGAATAACTAGTAAACACGTTGCTCGAAATCGAGCAATTGCAAAGAAGTTATTTAATCATAATTTCCGATGAGTTTAAAAGACTTTGAAATGAAAAATAACAGCAATTAAAATATACAGCTGATCAAAATGTAAACAATCATGTTCTTCATAACATGGGAACTTTAACAGCCACTGCAAAACAAATTATAGCTACACAAAACAACGATAAACGCACAAATTTAAGTTACAATCATGCTAACACGATCCGTCTTGGGGGTTATGTTTACACAAACTCAAATAGTAAATAAATGTACTCAATGCGTTTCATTGAATTGAAAAATAAATAACCATCGATCTCTATGCAAATAACATCAATTAAATTATACAGCTGATCAAAATGTAAACAATTATGTTCTCCATAAGAATAACATGGGAACTTTCAAAGCCACTGGGGCAGAGCCCAAGGGACACTTTCAAAAATGTAAGGCCAGTTTGCAAATCTACGCGACACGCTCTTTCCAATGAGACGTCAATGGATAAAATCGGTTAAGAAATGGCAGAGGAGTTCAACCGACAAAGTTTCATGTAGCGTATTAATTATATAGACTAGTGTACATGTTGCTCGAATTCGAGCAATTGCAAAGTATTACAGGAGTTATTTCAAAACGATTAACAGTCATATTTACAATGAGTTTAAAAGAGTCAACTCAAAGATTGCCGGTGTGTAACTCAGACCATGTTTATCTTCGTTATTGATAAACATAAAGCATTCCGGTTGTTTTTCTCCTTCTCAAAATGCCTCGCTGTACAGGCAACTCAGTTCATTGATAGAAGGTCAATTGAGAACGAAAAGTCGTTTTAGGGTAATCAGAGCCGTCTTTATAAAATGCGAGGCCTGGGGCAATACATAATTGCGAGGCCTTGTTTAATCAAGCTCACCGGTGGGTCTGGGGGGTACGGAGTATCCCCCAGCTGAGGGGGGGGGGGGTCTGGGGGTCCCCCCCGGAAAATATTTGTAAAATTATACTTGTAAAGTCGTCATTTTAAGCACTTTGACGAAAAAAAATTAATACTTTACACTCTGAAAATGGGCGTGAATATTATTGCTAATTACACATATAATTGTTCCAATTCCAAAGTGAATATCATAAATATTGTCCACGAAGTTCTTTACAATAATTAATAAAAAAATGAACACTTCTCTTCACTGTGGATTGTCGTCCCGTCACTTTGTAAATAGTAAATGCTCATAGGCTAACTTGTTTATGTACTTTTTGTCAATATAGGTTTATTGTGTTTTCGTCAGTTGGTCTGTAATGGGGGGTTTAAAGGTAAAAAAATATTACCTATAATTGTCAACGAGTTTTTAATAATAAATTAAAAGAGGTAGTATCATTACAGTGTAATTGATTCACAGTATTACTTTTTACTTTAATGACAAATATTGTTATAGGTTTATGTTTATTGCGAAATGTGAGTAGTTTACAGTCAGTCTTATCCACGCTGATTATCCATTCAATCCAGTAAACATTTACATCTGTAAATAAATTGAACTTAATTAATCATAGGTACAATAGAAGTTTAATGGCACCAGTACCAGTAAGAGTAAGCGTTTGACTCACTCACATTCACCGGGGTGGCTGCCGCGAGGCTCGGGTTCTGTCATCGCCGCCGAGCTGCCAAACGTTGTTTGATATTCTTTTGTGTTTTAAATGTCGTTTGTAGGTTTTTAATCGATACAACAATTGATATAGGCTAATTCATAATAAATAAGACATATTTAGGCACATGTATCTGTCTGTCCTTTATTTTTTTATTTTCATTCCAAAACATTAACTTATTTCTAGCGATAGTAAGGCCTCTCCGGCGCGAGGCCTGGAGCGGCCGCTCCACTCGCTCCACCCTAAGGACGGCGCTGAGGGTAATGTTAGGACTCATTTATAACCTAATAGTTGAGATTGTCCAGGGTCAGGTGCTGACTGTGATGAGTTAAGCCTGTTACGCGCCATAGTTCTGTAGCTGCAGTCGTTATCACGATTACGCCTAATGTTGTCGTCGCGTCGGGGGCATTTAAAAGAAAAAAAACGACAAATAAACAAATTATAGCTACACAAAACAACGATAAAAGCACAAATTTAGGTTACAATCATGCTATCACGGTCCATCATAGCGACACAAAACAACGATAAATACACAAATTTAAGATACAACCTTACTAACACGTAACACGATCTGCTTGGGGGTTATATTTACACAAACTTAAATAGTAAATAAATGTACTCATAATGCGTTTGAAAAATAAAAAACAGCAATTAAATTATACAGCTGATCAAAATGTAAACAATTATGTTCTTCATAAGGATAACATGGGAACTTTCAAAGCCACTGGGGCAGAGCCCAAGGGACTTTTTCAAAAACATAAGGCCAGTTTGCAAATCTACGCGACACGCTCTTTCCAATGAGACGTCAATGGATAAAATCGGTTAAGAAATGGCGGAGGAGTTCAACCGACAAAGTTTCATGTACCGTATTAATCATGTAGCGTATTAATTATATAGGTAGATATATAGATTTATATATATATATGTGTCCGTGAACACGATAACTTGAGTAATTTTTATCCGATTTTGATGAGATTTGGTTTGAAGGTGTAAGGGGGGATAAACTTGAATGACTTCGCGAACCAGCATGATCGGACCATGGGAACGGGGGTTTACGGGGGGTTTTATGGAATAAAAATTGGTTTTTCTAATTTTTTACCCTCTAAACGCAAAATTTCCCAATTTCTCTCCAGACCTTCTGAAAGAGCTTAAAAAACAAATAATGTAGTATACCAAAGTGTTTTTGTATAATTATTGGTTACGGAGAAAATTCAAATAATTGTTATTTTAAAACTCCCATGTTATTCTTATGGGGAATATTGTAAAATGTTGTAGTCTGCTTGTTTATGGATACATTTTGATCAAACTTGGTAAATTTATTTATTTTATACTTAGTTATTAATATTTCACTAAAAAACACACTTTTTTACCCTCCCTGTAGCAGCAAGAGCAAGCCTATGTACTCATAAAAATTAATGTTTAATTCAATACATTTAATTGAAAATCAATTCAGGAAACTGGAAATTCGCTTAGTCGGCAGGTTTGCTGCGGCGGGGGTATTTGTTATATTGATATTTAATAGATTTTTCTTTGATTGAATGTTGTTGTTAACAATTTGCATTTGGGTTTAAAGTGTGTGTTCCTTATGTTAAGTGTGTGATTCTAATGTTATGTGCCTAATCTGTACCTTATTAGTGAGTACTTAATACTTTTTTAATACTTAGTAAAGTGGTGTATGGATTTCATAACCATTATTTTACTAGAGACCGTTGTATTTAACCACAACGGACTCTGTTGCTATAGTTGTCAATAATTTGTAAACACTTAAAAGACAATAATTCATTTCATGCCATGGTGACTGAAAATGTGTGAGAAAAGGAGTCTAAAAGCATATTACACTTAGCCTCACACACACATTTACACTTATAACACTTATTACACTTATATTACACTTATAAATTTATGTCCCTAGTATTGGTATAATATTCAAAACTAATCATATTGGGTAATTATTTATGTTATTTTAATTTAGCTGATAGCCTAGTTTTTGTTGTCATATGACTTATTGTTTATAGTACAAATTTAATGGACAACAGATAATTTATATGGCACAGAAACGATTAAATTAGGGTTATTAGATACATTTTTCAGGCTGAACATATGTAATTTTACTATTTGTTTATGTTTATATCAGTTAGAAAATTTAGTAATAACAAGCATACAGACACAGATAAAAGGCTTGTTTTGATATAAGTGTTTGTAATATGACTAAAAAATTAATTAAAATATGATTCTGTTATATGTTGAATAAAATGTCAAAGGGAAAATTACTGGACCTCCCACTATCCCTCAGAATGTAAGTTAAATAGAAAAATTGGTTAATAGATTCTTAGAAGATTAGGTGACAAGTATTGTGGCTTCTGAGCACATGTAAGGTGACTGTCCAGTGAATGACTGCTGCCTATGAATCATCTATAATAAGAGTTAAATTAAGACATCAGGAGTGAAAAAAACTAGATGAGAAAATAGATATTACTCTATTCTTCATATTAAATTATCAGTTGTTAATTATTGTTAGTTATTTATGTTTATTTTGATGATCTATTTTGGACATGATTTGAATTTTAGTTTTTAGCTTCTGCCACTATAAGAACTCTACAGGTAAGGCATATTACATTACCTTCATTTTGTGGAGAAAAAAAAATCGGTTGAAATAGTGATTTCTTAGGGTTCCTTTTATTTAATATTAAGAGTGTATATTTAGAAAACTATCTGTTTTCATACGTAGGCCTACTAAAAAAATATGTTTTTTTTTCAAGCGGTCACATGATAGGCCTATGGGTCATTTACTGATATGGGGTCATTTACTGGGTTTGGACTCTAATTTACAATTATTTACTATAAAAATGCTCAGAACCTATTGAGAAATATAATTATCAATACCTATCAGATTTAAATCATAATTAATTGTCTTTCTCAACCAGAGTGAGTGACTGGCATCGAAGTCATCTACTTATTTTTAGTAAGTAAACATTTTTTATTAAAATGGTTATTAATTGATGTTTTATTCAGTCCAGGAGTTACGATTTATCCCAATTGAATATCCTCTTTGGCACTTTAAGACGTTTTTCCAACAGCTAACCAGGCCTATACCTATGTTTTTGATTTTACATTCCTAACGTAAACGTATAAAACTTCGTTAAAACTTTTAAACCCTTTTTCTGGTATATTACTGATTTTATAAGTGATTTACTAAACCTTCCGAAGTCGGTCATTCACTGGCATAAGACTAGTCATTCACTGGCATGACATCGGTCATTTACTGGACTCATGACTTTGGTAAAAAAACAATTCTTACAATGCGTAATTGATCTTTTATGAACAACTTATAATATAAAGGCAAACCCTTAAATATCAACCAAAAAGTAGTTAGGTACTGTATACCTAATAATATATAGCATTAATACTCTCATTTACGAGCAGTACCTGGGGACCGAGCCTTGCTCGGGGAAAATTATTAGTTTACTCTGAAAAGTATTGCAGATACATTAATCCACTCCCAATCTCCACACTGCTAACCTTCACTACTTACTTCACCACTCCCTACGTTGTGGACCTGTTTGCCCTCTTTCCTTATACCATTTTAGAATTGCAGATACATAAATGCCACAGACAGTTTCCACACTCTGCACTGCTAGCATTACTACTTCCTACACCATTTCCTATGTCATGGATCTGTTTTCCTCCCCTCTCGTAGCATTTTGGGATTGTAGATACCTTAATTTTATTCCCATAAACACTTCTCAGATTTCAGAATGCTCACCTTTACTACTTCCTTCACCACTTCCTACGTTGCGGACCTGTTTCTCTCCCTTCCAATGGCATTTTAGGATTGCAGATACCCTAATCAAGTCGTCATTAACAGTTCCAACACTCCGGGCTGCTTGCCTGTACTACTTCCTTCATCTCTTCCTACGTCGCAGACCTGTTTCCCTCCATTCCCATCGCATTTTAGGATTGTAGATACCTTAATCTAATCGTCATAAACACTTTCACACACTCCGGACTGCTCACCTTTACTACTTCCTTCACCACTTCCTATGTCGCAGACCTCTTTCCATCCCTTCCCATAGGATTTAAGGATTGTAGATTCCTTAATCTAATCGTCATAAAACAGTTTCCACACTCCAGACTGCTCGCATTTACTACTTCGTTCACCACTTCCTACGTCGCGGACCTGATTCCCACCCTTCCCATAGCATTTTAGGATTGTAGATAACTTGATCTAATCGTTATTAACAGTTCCCACACTCCGGACTGCTCACCTTTACTACTTCCTTCACCACTTCCCACGTCGTGAACCTGTTTCCCTCCCTTCCCATGGCATTTTAGGATTGCAGATTCCTTAATCTAATCGTCATAAACAGTTTTCACACTACAGACTGCTCGCCTTTACTACTTCCTTCACCACTTCCTACGTCGCGGACCTGTTTCCCTCCATTCCCATAGCATTTTAGGATTGTAGATTCCTTAATCTAATCGTCATAAACAGTTTTCACACTCCAGACTGCTCGCCTTTACTACTTCCTTCACCACTTCCTACGTCGCGGACCTCTTTCCATCCCTTCCCATAGGATTTTAGGATTGCAGATTCCTTAATCTAATCGTCATAAACAGTTTCCACACTCCAGACTGCTCGCCTTTACTACTTCCTTCACCACTTCCTACGTCGTGGACCTGATTCCCTCCCTTCCCATAGCATTTTAGGATTGTAGATAACTTGATCTAATCTTTTTTAACAGTTCCCACACTCCGGACGCTCACCTTTACTACTTCCTTCACCACTTCCTACGTCGTGAACCTGTTTCCCTCCCTTCCCATAGCATTTTAGGATTGCAGATTCCTTAATCTAATCGTCATAAACACTTTCACACTCCAGACTGTTCGCCTTTACTACTTCCTTCACCACTTCCTACGTCGCGGACCTGTTTCTCTCCCTTCCAATGGCATTTTAGGATTGCAGATACCCTAATCAAGTCGTCATTAACAGTTCCAACACTCCGGGCTGCTTGCCTGTACTACTTCCTTCATCTCTTCCTACGTCGCAGACCTGTTTCCCTCCATTCCCATCGCATTTTAGGATTGTACATACCTTAATCTAATCGTCATAAACACTTTCACACACTCCGGACTGCTCACCTTTACTACTTCCTTCACCACTTCCTATGTCGCAGACCTCTTTCCATCCCTTCCCATAGGATTTAAGGATTGTAGATTCCTTAATCTAATCGTCATAAACAGTTTCCACACTCCAGACTGCTCGCCTTTACTACTTCGTTCACCACTTCCTACGTCGCGGACCTGATTCCCACCCTTCCCATAGCATTTTAGGATTGTAGATAACTTGATCTAATCGTTATTAACAGTTCCCACACTCCGGACTGCTCACCTTTACTACTTCCTTCACCACTTCCTACGTCGTGAACCTGTTTCCCTCCCTTCCCATGGCATTTTAGGATTGCAGATTCCTTAATCTAATCGTCATAAACAGTTTTCACACTCCAGACTGCTCGCCTTTACTACTTCCTTCACCACTTCCTACGTCGCGGACCTGTTTCCCTCCATTCCCATAGCATTTTAGGATTGTAGATTCCTTAATCTAATCGTCATAAACAGTTTTCACACTCCAGACTGCTCGCCTTTACTACTTCCTTCACCACTTCCTACGTCGCGGACCTCTTTCCATCCCTTCCCATAGGATTTTAGGATTGCAGATTCCTTAATCTAATCGTCATAAACACTTTCACACTCCAGACTGCTCGCCTTTACTACTTCCTTCACCACTTTCTACGTCGCGGACCTCTTTCCATCCCTTCCCATAGGATTTTAGGATTGCAGATTCCTTAATCTAATCGTCATAAACAGTTTCCACACTCCAGACTGCTCGCCTTTACTACTTCCTTCACCACTTCCTACGTTGCTGATCTGATTCCCTCCCTTCCCATAGCATTTCAGGATTGTAGATAACTTGATCGAATCGTTATTAACAATTCCCACACTCCGGACTGCTCACCCTTACTACTTCCTTCACCACTCCCTATGTCGTAGACCTGTTTGCCCTCCTTCTTCATACTACTATTTTAGAATTGCAGATACATAAATGCCACAGACGGTTCCCACACACTGCGCTGCTAGCCTTACAACTTCCTTCCTCATTTCCTACCTCATGGACCTGGTTCCTCCCTCCCATTACATTTTAGGATTGCAGATACCTTAATTCAATCGTCATAAACAGTTCCCACACTCCAGACTGTTCGCCTTTACTACTTCCTTCACCACTTCCTATGTCGTGGACCTGTTTTCCTCCCTTTCCATAGCATTTAAGGATTGCAGATACCGTAATCTAATCGTCATAAACTCACACTCCACACTGCTACCCTTGACTATAGAATCTAGTAATCTTCAGTATAATCTTTGCTCAATAGTAACAACTGATGTTTTTCCTTTTGTACTGTATTTTGTTTTGCTAGTATACTGTGGATAGACAAATTACAAGTCTTTTGTTTACTTTTTCCTTGTTATTTAATTCAGCCAACATGGTTACCTAGCAACCCATAAGACTAATGTTAAAAAAATGTGATTTTCAGTTTCATTTTTCTACGTAATTAGATTTTTGTTGGCAGTTCTAATTGCAGTAAACTCGTTTTTAGGCCAGAAATAAACTATATACAACATTTCAAGAAAATCGTCAGAGCCGTTTTCGAGATCTTGGTGAAAGCATACATACAAGCAAACTTTGCTCGTATTAGAGTATAGGATTGTTAAGTTAACAAAACATTTTTACCTTAACCGGTTATTCACTGTACAAGTCACCCTACATGGTATTGTATGGCTAGCTAAAACTTTAACCTGGCTAAGATATCTAGGATAAATGAACCAACTGGTCTTATGGTGTGTAATTAATAATTTTACTGTAGCATTTCGTCTCTATAACACTTCTTTTCTGTTTATTTATCTAGCCTATTTATTCTTAATGGCAAACACCATTTTACAAACAATACATTAATACAATTCAATACATTAGCAAGCAAACAATAGCAAAAGTAATTCTAAGGTAGCATATTCAAGCAAAACAAACAGTGATGAAATAAAAATTAGAAGAACTGAGCAAAACTCGGGAACTTGAGCAATCAAAATATAAAATCAACAAGAGAAGAAGAAAAAATAAATACAACAAAAGTAACAGGTAACAAGAATAAACTATTTGAGAGAAAAAAAAATAACAAAGGTGCAGCAGTGTAAATAACAAAGTAAACGAACAGTGATCATTACAAGAAACAACCAAAACAACAATAG